CGAGCTATCTAAATGAAGATGTTGAGTAGTAAGTTGGCTAGTTAAGTTTGGGGTGGAAAGAAGAACCTCTATCTATATATTGGGGGGTTCTCGGTATATCAACTGTATTTAAATTTGTGAGATTATTAAGGGAGGTAGTGCTGGGGGAGAAAAGTCCAAGGACTGTGTTGTGGGTATGTCAACATTTTGAGGTAAAAATGAAGGAAAAAGGAAATTAAAGCCAGAGAGAACCAAAAAGTCTGAAAACTTGGAGGCCATTTGGAGTATTTTAAGGAAGAGGGAAGTATGGACTATGTCGCATGCTTCAGGTCAGGTAGGTAACATGGAGATGAGAACTTGGTACTGGATTTAGCAACGAGCGCTCTCTTGACAAGAGCAGTTTTGTGGCAGGCAAGACACTTGCGTAGATTTCATGTAAGAATGAAGTCAGTGTCATGAATGAGGACATTCTGACTTGGACAGAGGTTATGTATTTCCTCATGTTTTATAGCCAGGAAATAGGGGAGCTGGGATCTTCCCTAGTCAGTGTGATTCTCAAATGTTCACACTGCATTCCTTACTGGTCCTCTGAATAGTGTGACATCCACTTTCCAGTCTGGAAAAGCATTTTTTTTTTCTGGATTTTTGTTTTCTTCTTCTGGGCAAACTGATGAATTAGTTAATAGATTTTGGTGCTTATTGTGGGTAGTACAATTTATGAACAATGAGAAACTTCTGTCTTCAGTTTAGAGTTTTGATGGCAATGTGATGGAATGAAATAGGAATGATTGGACAGAGAGGTGAGAATAGAGGTGGGTGGGGGCAGCAGAAGTTGCTTCTACCAGGTGGGATCCCTGAGAAATGGGGCTTGCTAGTTTCCTAGTTTGCTTTTAGCTTAATCTTTATTTTTATTTATTGTTTAAGATTTATATATTTATGCATACAAGAACTGGGGTATAGGCCTGAGGTTTGGTGGGTGACAGGATTCATCAGAGACAGAGCGGGGAATAGAACAGACAGAGCTACTGAAATACACTGCTGAGGGGAGCAGCAGGGAGACAGGAGAGGTCTGCCATGCCATGTGGGTCAGCTTCCTGGTCGGGAATCATGCTCAAACTTGTGCTGTAGTGGTTGTAGATAGATTTATAGTGCTGTGCCTTAACCCATTACACCACAAGGGAGGACCCTAGCTTAATCTTTAACTCTTGAAAATGAGGTAGGTTGTCGGTGGACAGAACATAAATAGAATAATTCATCTTCTATTCATCTCCGTCCTTGAGATGGAGAGTGACAAACTCTGGTTCCCTCCCCTGCTTCTGGGCAGATATGGGTAAGTGAAGCTACCAAACCCACCAACCCACTGACCATGTGAGAAGCAGAGATTGTACACATCTCTGCGGAGATGCAGCGGTAGAGATGAAAAGCATGAGTCATAGGCCTCAAAAATCTATGAATTGTGTTTAAGATTGAGGTTTATTTTTTGACCAGATAGCTCTCTACAGTTCATCAAAAACCTGACCTTTATGTTCTTGGGGCTGTTTTAGCAATAAGAAACAACTGTGGTCCTCTTGCCATCTGCTGATTCCACTTGTCCTTTTGAAATTACGAGCTGGGACTTCCTTTGTCAAAGCCTTCGTGCCATGTCATTTCTTGGCAGTAGGTAGATCCAGCATCAGTCAAATAAGAAAGTGGCATTAACAAGCATCTAAGAAATAAGAAAGTTCATTAGCAAGCGTAGCGGGACAGTGGCCCTCCTAACTCTTTAATTCCAGAAACTCTTTGTGTGAGGGAACATTGCAGTACTTTCTCTGGCGCATATTATAACCAGCTATCTCACTGCGTTACGACCAACCAAGCCTTTTTAGTATCGGAATCAGTTTTATCCCAGTCTTCAGTAAATTTGTAGCAAAAGCATCAGCACAGAAAGTATTTATAATTTTGATTACACCCCTTATATTTTATAGTATGAATTTGAAAATGCTTTTGACAAATGATACAGGAATGTTCTCAAGAGAATTTGAGTAAACCTTTCAAAAGCTTTATTTATTTATTTATTTTGCCACAATCATGGCAAATCTGCTTAGCTGTTCAGTGTGTACAATCCCTGCTTCTCACATGTCAGTGGGTCGGTGGGCCTGGTAGCTTCACTTACCCACGTCTGCCCAGAAGCAGGGGAGGGAACCAGAGTTTGTCACTCTCCGTCTCAAGGGCCCGCCTGGCACACCAGAGCGCACAGAACAGACGATGTGAACACGCAGGTGATCTTGGGACAGAATTACTTCTTGCTTCTGCAACTGAGTGTTAGAAAAGCACTGTGGAGAAACTGACATTGACCTAAACCAGATTTTTCACATATAACCTTAACTACTTTGTAGCTTTTAGAAATCACATAGAATACAAGTTTCACAGGGAATATTGCAGAACACACGTCTCAACAGTATGTCAGCCTGGATTGACAGTTTTAAAGGGAAAGAAGTAGTGATGGTGGAAACATCTAGCAGCCACTGCCTGGACCACACGGGGCAGGACAATGCACTGTTAGTGCCTCTATGTGATGTGTATGGCATCACCTGTTGTACCTGGCAGCGTTCCTGTTTCATTGAGCTGAGGATGCTCAACTTTTAGTGGGGAGGAAAAACAGGAGATAGAGCAACAAGGTAAATGACATCATTAAAAAATCTCAACAGGGCCCTCCCTGATGGCGCAGTGGGTTAAAGCATAGCACTAAGAAGCTTAAGCCACTTCCATGTGAGTTCGATTCCTGCCTGCCCCGGAAGTGACCACATGGCGTGGCAGACCTCTCCTGACCCGCCCGCTGCTCCCCTCAGCAGTGTACTTTGTTGATTTGCCTGTTCTGCTCCCCACTCTGTCCCTGGTGAATCCTCTCACCCTCCACATCTCTGGCCTGTACCCCAGTTCTGTATGAATAAAAAAAAAAATCTTAAAAAAAAATGTTTTAAGATAGGGCCCCCCTGGTGGCATAATGGGTTAAAGCACAGCACTACAAAGCTCTGTCGTAAAAAAAGTATTGTTATACATGTTATTCTCAAGTGACTCAGCAAAAAGTATATATGTATATGTGTATGTATATTGACAAGGGAAATACGGCAAATTATTGCTCGATGAGTGATCTTTATGTTTTTTTTTTAACTGTGTATATTTGAACATTTTCATAATAATGATTGGGGAGAATTATACAGGGGGAAAAAAATCAAGTTATTTTCTTAAAAGAACAATCACGGCCCTCCCTTGTGGCACAGAGGGTTAAAACACAGCACTAAGAAACTAAAGCCACTTCAGCATGAGTTCGATCCCCGCCCTGGAGGTGATCCATATGGCGCGGCAGACTGACCTGCCTGCTGCTCCCCTCAGCAGTCGTTGATCTGCCTGTTCTGCTCCCCACTCTGCTTCTGGTGAAGCCTCTCACTCCTCCTGCACCTCTGGCCTGTACTCCAGTTAGGTATGCATAAATAAATAAATCTTAAAAAAAAAATCAAAAAATATTCCAAACCTAATGAAAAGCAGATTTTAAGGACTGAATAAGATGGTGGCATTTAGAAATAGGCATCTATAGCCCACCAATGTCAAAGCAATCTCTCTTTCCTAAGCCATAGCTTCTCTCTGCAGCCTCTGCCCTGAAGTACCACACAGGCAGTGATTGTGGGCTGTCCCACTGGAAGGCGACAGGCGACAAGGCTTGAAGGAGGATTTGAGGGCTTCCTGCCATAACTTCCCCTGTTTAAACTTATTTCCTGCTGTAACTCTTCATCCTCTATTCCTTTCCTGTTCCCTCTCATGTCACTGAGCCCTCCTGTGTTGCTTTATCCATAAACACTGAAATTCTGCTTACCTTTGAGTACTGTGTTTTGGTTAAATCTTGACTAACCAGAATGATGGTAAAGGCAGGCTTGTGGTAAATGAGCAGTGGAGGGTATTTCTCCTGGACTCAGGAGCACTGTACACACCTCTGACCTCTGCCAGTGTGCATGTAATCTTGAGAGAGTCGCTGATGGGCCTAACCTAACTCGCCACCAAAATAAAATCTGCGAGGTGGTAACGCCCTATATATTGCTTTTGTGTTCTGATTAGGAAATTAGATCGGTTTTTGTCAGTTACAAAAGCCCTTTTCAACAGCTTAAATGGAGAAACAGAAGCAAAGCAGTGGGAGAGAGGAACTTAGTTTATCAGCTTTGTCAATGAGTTGATTTAATGATCCAGAAAGAGTGGTGGTGTTCTTGTAACAGGGTGGTCCCTAGGAAAAGGGGAAGTTCCAGGTTCCCTGCCCCACCCAGAAGGAGGGTGGAGCTGAGCAGAGAAAAAAGAGAGAAGCTGAGGGGAGAGGGAGAGAAGAAAGGAAGGAAGCTGGATGGAGAGCCAGGAGCCCTGAGGAAGCCACATGGAGCAGCGAGCATGTGAGGAAGAAACCGGGTTTGTTTCCTGGCCCTGGACTGGTTAAGGCAGATGTGGGTGAGAGACCTGCAGGGAGGTGACTATGGCAGTGTTTATATTGATTTTGATTTTGCTCTTTTCCTCCCAGATTTGTCTGGCCATTTCTGACCCTTTTCCATGGGTCCCGGCCAGAAGGTGCTTTAGTCTTGTGGCAGCTTTCAGGCCTTGCTTTGGGCCAATCCCTTTTGGGTTGACTTTTGCCCACGAGGGGATGGGTAACTTCAGGTGTTTGATTTGGAAGTTATATTCTTTGTGTTCCGTATTGTATATTCACTGTATTAAAGTCCCTTTTCATTAAAGTTTTATATGTTTTGTTTTGACCCGGCAGATGGCAGAACCCACTTAGAGCAGGCAGGTTTGGGCTTCAGGGGTGTCCCTGTCCCCCTGTCCTGGAACAGATTTGGCGTCAGCCTGTAACAGATTTGCTGTCCTCTAGCAGATTTTGTCCTGGAACAGATTTGGGGTGCCCTATAACATTCTTGCTGCTAACGTTGAGTTCTCTTTGCATGTGGTTTCTCTTATTCTTTATGACAGCCTTCTGAGGGGAGTGTGATATTGTCCATCTTTTACAGATGGGGAAGCTGAGACCCACAGGGGGGATTTTTCCAAGGCTGCGTAGAGGAGTGGAGATTTGAACACAGTGCTTCTGATTGTAAGTTCAGCGTTTCTTTCAATTTTTGTTGTTGAGTGAAATGATTTCATTTCTGTACATTTCTGAAAAATAGGAAAAAACAGGTACAGTAGAAAGATACATGAAATTAAAGTAACCCAAAGTGATTAACTTAATTTGTTCAAAACTCTAATACCTTTCCTCACTATGATTTGATTTTTTTGGCCTTAATGACTTCAAATTCACTTGCAAGTAACTCCTGATAAGAAAATTAAACTTCAGAAAGAGATGATTTGATCAGAAATTGCATAAGTCTTAGAATCTAAAACTGATGTTTGATGACAAAACTTTACCTTAAGAAGCTTTTATTTAGTGACCAATCTCTAAAGGTTAGTGGAAGCCGCCTTTGGATACAAGGATACATGAAAATTGAATGTTCCCTGTATTCTTCTGTTTTAAGAATCATCTTGTTTTAACATTAAAATTTAAAAGCTAACATTTTCCCTTAGTATTTTAATATGCAACATATGAATCAACTGCACATAATATTTTGGAGGGTTGATAAGATAATTTTCTTCATTTTCTGTTAAAATTGATACTATATCAGATTATTCATTTATTCTATTGAAGTGTTTCTATTGAAGAGTGTTCATTTTCATTTGTTCAATCACTTTTGTGTTGGGCCTTTTCCATTCAAATATTTCCCTCCTACAGTGAACCCTGTTCTATGATGTGTTTCATTTCTACTTAGTAAAACACTTTTGGGATACATTTAGTTTCCTTCATACAGTAGATGATAATGTAGGTACAAAGATAGGATTTTTTTTTTAAGATTTATTTATTAATGCATACAGAACTGGGGTACAAGTCAGAGTTGCAGGGGCGGTGAGAGGCTTCACTAGAGACAGAGCGGGGAGCAGAACAGGCAGATCAACAAAGCCCACTGCTGAGGGGAGCAGCGGGTGGGTCAGGAGAGGTCTGCCGCGCCATGTGGGTCACCTCCAGCATGGGGATTGAACTCATGCTGAAGTGGCTTTAGCTTCTTAGTGCTGTGCTTTAACCCACTGCGCCACCAGGCAGGGCCCACTAAGACAGGATATTAAGTGTGTGAGTAGCTGAATGATGGTGGTTGCAAAGCTCATGTTTTAGATTTTTTACTGTCTTTTGTTTTCTTAGAAATTCTCTTATGTGCCAACTTAGTGTGTCTTGGCTTATCTGTTGTTCATTCAGTTTAAAGATATTCAAACTTTGATTCCTACATCCTCCCTATTTAAATTGTTAGGACCTGGCTAATTTTCCCACTTTTTGTTTTAACTTATTCCTTAGAACTAGGTTTAATTGGTTGTCAATTTAATGGCAGTTTCAGGTAATCCTTCTTTTGTTTTATTAGATCTTGAAGAAATTAGAAAAATGTTTTGAGGTATTTTATTTTTTGTTGAAATGAGGGTTTTTTTTGCTGTATATATTCAATATTTTTCTGCTCTCCAAAAAATGTCATTTTAAATGAATACAATAAAATAAATGAAGGAAACCATTTCACAGAAAAAGAATAAAATCTAACAAATACACACACAAATGATGATATAAGCTGTATCTTTATCATGTTGTGGATGATCATTTTCACTTGTTTGAAGACCTATTCTCTGAGTAGCCTTGTCACTTTCCAGAATTTTCTTCCCTTTTATATTAGCAAAGACACATCTCCTATAGTGCATATAACCCTTTGTCCTGCATCTTGGCATCTAGATGTTTGCATCTCTGTCAGCTTTGCTGTCTGCATCAAATATGAATCCTCAGATATCTCAAGAGACAGTGTTTCCAGATCTCACCATATTGTGGTCCATGTGTGGGTTTATTTAATTGAGAGAAATCTTCTTTGGGAAATACAACTTAAAACTGAATGTCGTCACCATGGAAAAGTGAACTCCTTCCAAATTCTCTTTCTGCAAAAATCATCATGTTGGATATGTTACTCAGCCAGGAACACACTGTACCAACTTTATTAAAATTGGTTTACCCTTGATTTCATTCTCTAATAGCAAATAGAAATACAGAATTACTTGTTACTATCCTAGTAGCATATGAGATGGTGAACATGATACATACAGAGTTTTACCAGTAGGAAATTAAATTGGAGTTTCTTTTATTATCTTTTTTCTTGTAGCAAAAAATATGGAGTTTGGGGGAGGGAAAATAAAGTGATGAAAACCATGTATTCTCTAAAAAATATGTATATATATGGGTGTATATATGCACATATATGTATATATATGCATATATGTGTATATATGCATATATGTATATATATGCATATATGTATATATATGCATATATATGTGTATGTACATACATACACATATATATGTATATAGAGGTTGTTTTAAATATTTTTAACATTCATTCCAAGAAAGCCTTCCCTCGTCATTCATAATTTTTTCATTTGCCTCATTCTTGCCATGATTATTTTTAAAATAAATTTTAGTTTAGGTTTTATGAATTGCTTAAAGAGAATAGGCAGTGGTTTGAAGCACATGTTTCTGCTAGAAGTAGCTAACTTACAGACCACAGCTACTAGCTTGGTTTCTTTAAGTGTTTCTGAAAATTTCTTAGGATGGTCTTAGCATTCTGAAAAGTTCATAATTACATCCGTATCATTTCTCATCACTTAAAAGTCCTTGGCAGAAAAAACATTCACTGTAGTGACCATTTCTTTTGATTGACCATGTGTTAATCCTATAGGTGATCCCTGTTAGCTCATAAGATCTGGCAGAACTTTCTGGCTTCTGTGAACCTTCTTTCTTGTTCTTTTTCTCTCTATCTTCTCTGGACTAGTTTTTAAGGCTTTATCTGCACAGTTAATAACTGTTTCACCAGCTAAATCTCGATTTTGTTAGATCAAAAAATAATTCCTTCTATTTGTGCGTTGTAGCAAGAGATGCTCTCTAGCATACACTGGCTCACCCGTGATTCATCTCAAGTTTCAGCGCCTTTTGCCAGAATGAAATTTTTATTGTGTGGAAATAAGTTTAAAGAGAAAAATCTTTTGTCAGAGTTTACAACCAAAAGACATGACCTTGAGACATAATAGATTTGTAATAAATACAGATGAGTGAGTTTCTCACTGACCATAACTCTTTTTAATGATTAGAGCACTGTGAAACCACATCAAGTTTTTCTATTTTTGATGGTTTGGAGACTTATCAAGATTCAGAGACCTCATCTGTCATTGGGAGTAAGACTGCAGGTTTTGAAATTGGGCTGTGTGGCCTCTGAGCTGGGCTCTATTCCTTCACTTGACTTTGTGACTCTATGACTCAACTGTCTTTACTTGTGAAAGAGGACCTATAATAATGATGCTTGATTTAATGTGAGGATAACAGATTTTAATTAGCTTATATGTAAAGTAAGATTTTATATGTTTATAGGCCACATTTTTTAAAATTTTACTTATTTCTATTTTTTAAAATAATATAATAGTTTATTTTTGCATCATTTTGTGCTTTTTTCCATCTCAGTTGTAATCTCCGTGGGCTTCCCATCACCAAATCACCCATGTGCCATCACCATAGTCCAGTGCATTTCTCTCCCCCACTGTTTTTGATCCCTTTCCCCACTTTACCCCCATAAAATGTCTCTGGTATTTAGCTGTTCATTATTATTATTATTTTCTCACCTGGCTCATTATATTCCTGCTATGACTGAAACCATCCGGTATTTTTCCTTTTCTTTCTGGCTTATTTCACCAAGCTATATGCCACATGTTCTACATGATACATATATATAGTTTTATAAAGGAATTCTTAGTATTTCAGAAGTTCAAGTTGAAGCTATAATAATATTGTAATGTCTGACACCATTCTCACCACCATCAGGTTTGAAAGCGCAATGGCGGGAAACAGCCTTGTCCTACCTATTGTTCTTTGGGGTCGCAAAGCACCAACACATTGCATCTCAGCAGTGCTTTTAACAGATGATGGGTCCACAATTGTAACTGGCTGTCATGATGGACAAATATGTCTCTGGGATCTTTCAGCAGAATTGGAAGTAAGTATTTGAAATGCCTATTGTACTTTTTAAATAACAGCAACTACATAATAGAAAATAATGCAGTCCCAGTATAACACGTGGCTACAGACTCTGAGAGATACATTTTGACTGAAATCGGCACAGTTTAAAGTGGTTCTTTATATTATTCATCAAAGTTGACTTTCGCTGCTGTTAACTGTTTTCAAATATAGCATCTACCCCAGTTGGTTTAAAATGTTGCACTGACGATCTTTATCCCTACTGAGGGAAGTCTTCAAAAAGATACTAAAAACTAATTTTGAACACTCAAACTTTCTAAGGTGAATGTTTTGAAGAGAACAAAACTTTTTGTTGTGTTTACTTGAGAATTCACAGTGCATTATTGCCACTCTTCACCCTCTCTTCACCTCGATGGATGGCTTCCTTGCTCGCTCCTGGCCTTCTCACTTGATAGGCTAGAAAATGTACCCTTGTGAGCACATACAGAGTTCACACTGATACCTTCAGTTCCACTATCACCCTTCAGAGCTTCTTCTACTTTCTCTCTTTCCCTATTTGTGACCTCCTTTTCTGAAAACTCTCCCTGGGAACTTTTCTGTAAAGGACAACAGAGAACATTGAGTGGTGGCTGGCCTGTCATATCTGAGTAAGAAAGTTCATTGGTTATACAATTATTTGTTTCTTTTTGGTAACACAATTAATGAAGTATAATTCACAAGCCATATCATTTACTCATGGAAAGTGTACAACTGAATGATTTTTATATGCAAGTTGTACAGCCATCACCAGAGTAAATGACAAACCATTATCATCACCTAGAGCCAAACCCCACACACGTCAGCTCTCAGTTGTAATGCCACCTCCCCTCAGGCCATGACTAATGTATTTTCTGTCTCTATACATTTGCTATTATGGACATTTCACAGAACTGGAATCATTAGGGCATTTTAATTTAATCTATTTGAAGAAATACATCTTTTGAAAGTTATTAAGGGTGTCAAACTATTTACTTGGGGAGAAGAAGGATAGAGAAATGTTGGCTTGGTATTATCTTTTGAGGTATATGGAGGCGTTTTCAGTATCACTCTTTCCATCAGTGATGAATGCCTGTGAAAGACCAATAAGAAGAAATGTAACATTCAGGGGGGAGGCATGTGCTACTTCAAGTTCTGGTATCTTCCCAAACTCTTTTGCTAGCAGAAGATTCAAAATAGTAGCTAGGGCAGCCTTTCCTGCCCTAGTCAATAAACTCATTGCATTCTAAATGATAAAAAACAATGGCAACCAAATGGTAGTTAAGACCTTTGCCATTCATGTTTTTGATCTCCATTTATCTGTAAAAGGGGTGGCCTGGCTTAACATGGTAGCAATAACATACAGGAAAGAAATTGCAAAAGCAGTATTTTAGTGATTACCTAAATATATTTGGGGACTACTTGCTAGACTATTTGAGAATAGTGGTTACTAAGTTGACCTCCTATAGGGCTCTGTGTGACTTACTCATTATTCTGTGAAGGTCACTCTTAGTTCCTGACAGTTAACATTGATATCAGCATAAGTGAGGGTGAAATGTCCTTTATTTTTTGTATTTGGGAGTGTCAACTAGAGACTCTAAATATGCTTTTCAGACCGTTCAAGGTTATTATTTAAAAAATCAGTATGGTCAGATTATTTTATATACTAATTCATATTCTTAACCTGGTTTCCCATTGTGCTGTGACTTAGTGCTTAAGATAGCCTTGAACCCAGATTCCCTCACTCATTCTCTGATATTGGGTAAGTAATGGTACCTATTGGTGAACCAATATTAACCTCGGAACTACTTAGTTGTATGATTTAAACATTAAATGGGTGTAAACATTAAATGGGTGTTTTGCTTGAGACTTGAGAAGTCATCTATATCTATATATTTACATTAAATATGTAATAGTTTCTAAAAATACAGATTTTGAAAAATTTGCACCTTCAACGTATTTTTGTATTTCTAGGTTAATCCTCGAGCACTGTTGTTTGGCCATACAGCTTCAATCACTTGTTTGTCTAAGGCCTGTGCTTCTAGTGACAAGCAATACATTGTCAGTGCATCCGAAAGTGGGTAAGTATAATTCAAACACTGCCAGTGTATTAGTAAGTAGGGATTTTTTTTCTTTCGGCATATGTTTTGAATAAATGTGATCATTGTCTCAACTGAAAGAGGGATTTTTGAAATACAGTTTCAAAAATGTAAATTTTATCATTTTAAAGGATTTTTATAATAGTTTTATTATAATTTATGATTATGCCTTTGCCCGGCTTTTGAGAAACTCATAATACTGTAAAAGTTAAAGGATGATCATTAATCCTCATGCCTTTTATTGAGCTGGCAGACAACTTGGAGAGCTGTAAAAAACCTGAGTGATGCTATGAGCGCATTAGTTGGGAAAATGAAGTAATGCAGAAGTTCATAGTTATATTGATGTATGTTAACACACTGACATAGCCACAGATGTTGCTAACTTCAGTGTAACTTGCTTTTGCTGAGTGAGATCATTGGACAGTAGTTGTAGGATCTAGAGTGTCAGGAATTTTTAAAACTTTTTTTTGGTGATTAGAAAATGGTTTATTTATACACTGTGTTGTTGAGATTTGGAGAACTGAAAGAGAATTATTTAACTTGCCTGTTCCATCACTCATAACTTAGGAACTTGAAAAGAATCTTGTAGAACTATTTAGAACAAGAAGGGCAGCGTCAGGTAAAAATATAGTACTTTTTGGTCCTTTAAATAATAATCACGGCCCTCCCTGGTGGCGCAGCGGGTTAAAGCACTGCACTGAGAAGCTAAAGCCACTTCCGCATGAGTTCGATTCCCGCCTGCCCCGGAGGTGACCACATGGTGTGGCAGACCTCTCCTGACCCGTCCGCTGCTCCCCTCAGCAGTGTACTTCGTCGATCTGCCTGTTCTGCTCCCCACTCTGTCTCTGGTGAAGCCTCTCACCGCTCCGAGCCTCTGGCCTGTACCCCAGTTCTGTATGCATAAATAAATAAATCTTTAAAAATAAATAAATAAATAAATAATAATCACATCAGAATGCATAGTCTTTTTTTTTTTTTTTAAGGTTAATTTATTTATGCATACAGAACTGGGGTACAGGCCAGAGGTGGCAGGGGCAGTGAGAAGATTCACCAGAGACAGAGTGGGGAGCAGAACAGGCAGATTGATGAAGTACACTGCAGAAGGGAGCAGTGGGTGAGACAGGAGAGGTCTCCTGCATCATGTGGGTCACCTCCGGAGCTGGGGTTTGAACTTGCACTGAGGTGTCTGTGACCAGCTTGTAGTGCTGTGTCCTAACCAGTTGTGCCACCAGGGAGGGCCAGAACCCATATTCTATATAGGTTTTCTATCCTTTCAAGAATTGTTTCATGCCATGTGAGATGTAGGAATGGGTATCCTGAAGAAAACCCCAAATATATCAGGCTCATTAGATTTTATTAATGTCTCCTTTTAAATCTTAAGTTTGTATCTTTAAAAGACAAGGTATATTGACATTTCTCATTTTCACTGTTGTTCTTACTAAAGTTATTTTGTTGTGCATGCAATACTTCTGCAATAAACACAGGAATGAAAATGGAGTGTTATTTAATTCGCAGAGGTTTAAAATTCAGTTGACTTTAATTTTCGTTTTTGTGCTTAATTTTCTAGCTATGTTCATAACCAATGGAAACCTCAGTGGTTTACATGAAAAGTTTATTTCTTGTTTTTGTCACCTGCCTCTTATTTATCACTTGGGACTTTGCTCTTTTTGTTATTATTCTTACCTTCGGTAGAGGGTAATAGTGCAACCACTAACTAAAGCAGATGCTGTCTAGAGTGTAGGCAGAGGACTGTTCTGGAGAGCCTCACATTAGTTCTAACCAGAACTATTCCTGCAACTCTATCAATGAAAGGGAATCAGGATGTGCAACCCTATCCTGAGCTAGGAAGGAAAGTGGATCAGAGTCGGGTGGAGGGGAGTAGAGTAGGGTGGAGGGGAGGGTGGGACCATGAATGGGAAGACCAGAATTTTTGATGAATAGCACTAATGATTATTTACTTTACCTACTTCTTTTTCTATAATCAACTTTAATGGAGACTGAAGTTGACAAAGTTGAATTTAAGGCTAGCTGTTATTTTGTTTTACAGAGAAATGTGTCTCTGGGATGTGAATGATGGCCGATGTATTGAATTTACAAAATTAGCCTGCACGCATACTGGCATACAGGTTAGTAGCTATGCTAAGAACTGTCCAAATTAGCACAAGCGTTACAGGTATATAATTTTTACAATCTTTTATAAACACTGATCCTCCATATTAACATGAAAAATGAATGGGGACAGGCAATAAGAAATGAAGACTAGAGTTGTAGCAGTGAAAATCTTACTTTTATGGTGGTTAGTTGGGAGGATAATAAAGGAGAGGAGACTGGTGAGGAAAGGTGTGGGGCACACCGTTTGCTTCTGCACCTTCAGCTGACTCTGGCGCCCCTGGCTTCCCAGGTATGGTGCCCTTTACTAGTGGGTAAACCAGTGCCCTGTAGCCTAATTAACGGAATTCACTCTTGCTGACGTCTCTGATTTCATTCATGATTGCCACAGTTAACCTTTAGATCATACCAATAAATTGCTCATGACCTGGGTACATTTTTGACTTTCTAACTTTGTAGAAGAAATGACCACTTCTCTGCTTGACTTAGGTAGGAATTTACACAGCATTTTCTAGTTTCTGACTTAATGTTCTTGGTATTTTTTCTTACTCTTTCATAATTATCAAGCTCTTTGTGCTTGAGTTCATTCATCACTCACTGTGTTGAGTGCTGGGCAAATTACTAAGAATATGGAAAATGTGACTTACATTTTCCACGGGGAAGGAAAAAGGGAAGAGAAGGGTACTCACGTTTATTGAGCAAATATTACGTAGGCGTTTCTTGTCTAGTGTTTCATTTAGTTTCTCCAGATCCTTCAAAATTAAATAGAAGCATATCATTTTACCTGTAAGGAAGCTGAGACCCTGAGTGATTAAATGAGGTGACCTAGTCTCACGGTGAGTCATTCCTGACGCCAGGATCCTAAATCAGATTTATCTAACACTAGGAACTGTGTTGCTTCTGGTACATGATACTGCCCTCTCTTGGAACAAATAAAAAAAAAAAAAAACATTTGCTTAGAAAGAAAGCCCTCTTTCCCAGCACAGGTTAGAAAAGCAATACGAATGTTTTGGAGTGAGGCAGCGGTTAGTGAGGTAAATAGGTCTTTCATGACAATTTTTTACTTTTTTAGAAAATAATAGTTTATTTTTACATCATCTTGTACATTTTTTCCATCTCAGTTGTAATCCCCGTGGGCTTCCCATCACCAAATCACCCATGTGCCATCACCATATTCCAGTGCATTTCCTTCCCCCCACTGTTTTTGATCCCATTCCCCACTCCACCCCATAAAATGTCTCTGTTCATTATTATTAATATTATTTTGCCTGGTCCATTATACTCCTGCTATGAGTGAAACCATTGGTATTTTTCTTTCTCTTTCTGGCTTATCTCACTAAGCATGATCTTTTCCAGCTCCATCCAAGTTGCTGCAAAAGACATGTGTTTCTCGTTTTTGGTTGCTGAGTAATACTCCACTGTGTATATGTACCACATTTTTTTAATCCAGTCATCTGCTTTTGGGCATTCAGGTTGTTTCCATGTCTTTCCAATTGTAAATAAAGCAGCAATAAACATAGGGGTGCAGGTATCTTTTTGAACCAGTGTTTTTGTGTCTTTTGGGTAGATACCTATCTTTAATGACAATTTTTAAGCTGGCAAAGCTTCTTAAAAATTGTTCATTTAATGCTGTGTGGTTTTTACTTAAAGGTACATATTGTTCAGTTTTTAATCATCTAATAAATCATCACAATTTGCAAGGAGAAAGGGGTAATAAAATCCTGTAAATTCATTACCTTTATAAATTATTTTAATCTTGTAGGTGAATCAGTTCACTAAGAGAATCATTTTCTTGAAGCCAAGGGCAGACAGGTCCTTTGTTAAGATGTCGCTTTTGTTTTGATAGTTATTCTCCATTTGCTTTCTGGCCCTGAAATCCATTTTATCCTTTTGAGTGATTCTTGTTATGAATAGCATATAAATCAATATTGTATAGGTTCTTCCTTTATTTTTCTTGCAAAGTGTTACCTATGAGAATGGGTTACAAAGATGATTCATACCCTGATTTGAAACACACTCATCAATCAGAATTTACTCCTGATTATTACATACTTGTATTTATCAATCAGCTTCTAAATTTTATTTGTTCATAACCAGTAATTACAAACCTTTACTTATTCTTATTTATATAAAATTCAGATTCTTTTGTGATCTGAGACTTCCTTTTGCTTTGATTTATGAAGTTAATATTATTTGCTTTATTTTATTCAACAGTCTTGTTTTAGATGATACAGAAGGATAAGAAAGAATTATCAGCAGTTCAAAAAAAATCATTGGTGTTAGAAAAAGAATACTTTTCCTTTACATTTCAAATATGACTATACATTTTCAAATATGACTATAATGACATGTGTGTACATAGGCACAGTATAATATGTACCACATAGTACATGCCTGAAAAAATAAATCGAGCTCTTAGGAGGATCTCATAATAAGTTTGGTGAATGCAGGTGAATCAGGTACAAAATTAAAGGAGAATACTTGAAAAATCTTTTCTATTTTAGTTCTACCAGTTCTCTGTTGGAAATCAGCGAGAAGGAAGGCTTTTATGCCATGGCCATTATCCTGAAATCCTCGTTGTGGATGCCACCAGCCTTGAGGTGTTATATTCCTTAGTTTCAAAGATCTCTCCAGACTGGATTAGCTCCATGAGCATTATTCGATCCAACCGAACTCAAGGTCAGTGGGCACGGTGCCTTAAGGACTTCAGCTCCATGACCTAATGTTGATTTTACTAACTTTTTTACAGACTTTTGATTTTTCATTAACATTGTAACCCATGTTAGAGACTTCTATACTTTTTCTTATGTTAATATATTTGGTTATATTCTTCTACTAAGAAATAATGACTCTAGTAATTGATCTGTCTTTATCCTCATGAAGAATCTTTGATTCAATTAGGACTTTAAAGGGCTATTGTCTCCACTCCATGGCACAGGTCACTTTTTTGGGCAACCTTAGAGATGTGGGTGATTTTTCTGGGTATAGGAAGAATATCTTAACCCCTTGGCGGTATGGTGGGAGGAACAGTAGCTTTTCCTGTGTATTTCAGGACTTGGTTTTGTCACTTTATGTGGAGATAATGAAAAGAGAAGAGATCACACACAGGTCAATTTAATTAAAGTAGAATCTAACTAAACGCGGCTATCTTTTCATTTGAGTTAAAAGCTTTTAATAATAACTACGAGAACAAAAGTCAAATAGTTCAGGGAAAGAGCAGTAATTAACAGTGAACATCGAATATATTCTTATAAACCATTTTAGGATCATTCTTTTGCTCCCAAGTGGCTTCATGGCTTTGTGCTCTTCTGTACAGACTGACCTGTACCTAGAACCACTGAGGAGGTCATTTAAAGGCTCGCAGATTCAGGCACTCACCACACCTGTCCTTAGGTCCTCAGTTCTCATATCACCCAGTGGAGTCGGCACTGTTTTTATCAGCTGTGTGGATGAGGTGACTGGTAAGAGTTAGAGTAGTCCAACTTTGCCAAGTTCACAGAACAAGTCTGTGGCTGACCGATGGCCAGATGGATGGCAGAGTCGTTTCCTTAATCATCGTATGACCCCACCAGCCTGAGTGGGCAGCCTCCAGTCTATGTAGCTTTCCTCTATAACCTCTTTGTGGTCGAATCAGTGCACAGCTTTTTACTTAACACCTGCTCACCACATATTTGAGGGTGTATTATTTTCTAGGTACAATGATTGAGGTACTTAAGGGACTCAGAAGTACTTAAGGGTGAAAGAGTGACAAGGTGGAGAAAAAAGTACAGAGATGCTGGAGTTCACCAAGGCCACAGAGGGGCTTCAGGCTAAGCTGGGAGACTGCCCAGTCAGGTAGAGTCTGCTACGATCTGGGAGATGAGGAGGACTTTGTGACAAGTAGTTTGCTTATTTTGAATTTTTATGTTCTTTCTGTATAAGACATTCACATACACACCTGGTCAGTCTGGACAGGGTGAAACATGACTATTGGAGAATTTGGCGGTGTGCATGGAATTCTGAATGTCATCAATTCTGAATGTCATCAACTTTGGTATTATATACATTTTAAATTTCCATTTATACTAGTCTGCGGATATCTGAGATTTTTCAGAGATAAATGTAGGTTGTCCTTTTTTTTTAAAGATTTATTTGTTTATACACACAGAATTGGGGTACAAGCTAGAGGGCAGGGGCAGTGAGAGGCTTTACCAGAGACAGAGTGGGGAGCAGAGCAGGCAGATCGTCGAAGTACATTGCTGAGGGGAGCAGCGGGCGGGTCAGGAGAGGTTCGCCATGCCATGTGAACACCTCCGGGGCTAGTGATCGAGTCGAACTGAAGTGGCTACAGCTCGCTTGCAGTGCTGCGTCCTAACTCATGGCGCCACCGGGAAGGGCTCTGTAAGTTGTACTTTTACTGTAATTGACAGACTCATGAGCAGTTTCACAGCTTTTTAATGCAGGGATCATGGAATTGTAATCAGGGGCTTCCAGTGACTTCATTGTCTAGGGACCATCTAATATGGTCAGATATTTTACTTAGAGCTGGCAAACAATCCTTTTTAATAACAATAATAGCTAATCTGTGTTAGTGTGAGGATTGCATTATCTATCTGTGGTTTTTATTAATTTTCATAACAACTCACTAATGTATAAATACTGTTGTGATCTACCTTTATTTGCTTACAGTTAAGCAAATTGAATTTAAGTGGAATAAGCAGTTCACATTTTCACTGGTTGATTAGGGAGGAAGATGTGATTTTAAACTCTGCCTCTCTCTTGCTTTCCAATGTTCTTTGTGTCAGAGTTCCCGTTTGTTTCTGTGGTTGCTGTGACTTCTTCCTTATCCAAAGCCTGTGAATTTATATCATGTCTTTCTCTTGATCACCGACTATGGAGAATATAATTAAATGTCTAGATGGCATAGGGGCAAAGGGGAAGCGCTTGTGGTAAGGACATACTGTGAAAGCTCATCTGTGAAAAATAATTACCAGTGAATTTTGAAGAGTGAAAGCTCTTTGTTAACAGAGCAATCAAGAACATTTGAGGCTATTAGAAATTTGTTGCTTAGAAATTTAAAAATAGATCCAAATACCTAGAAGCATCTTTTCTTTGAATTCCAAATTTTTGGTTATCTCTATTAATTTGTGTTTCCAAATCCAGGTTTTGGTACTTCATGAAGTATAGAATTATGCTTTTTATGCTAACTGTAAAATATACTATTTAGTTGTATTATAGTAGACTATATATTACCTCAGTAAACATAAGTTTTTCTTTTAAAGATTTATTTATTTATGCATACAGAACTGGGGTACAGGCCAGAGGTGCAGGGGCGGCGAGAGGCTTCACCAGAGACAGAGTGGGGAGCAGAACTGGCAGATCGACAAAGTACTCTGCTGAGGGGAGCAGCGGGCGGGTCAGGAGAGGTCTGCCGTGCCATGTGGTCTCCTCTGGGGCCGGTGGGAATCGAACTCATGCGGAAGTGGCTTCAGCTTCTTAGTGCTGTGCTTTAACCCACTGCGCCAGCAGGGAGGGCCAAGCATAAATTTTAACTCAACAAAGTGTACCATGTTTAGGCAGGTAGCATATGATGTTTGTAACTTTGGCTTCTGCTTCTTTCCTGGCTTAGAAGACACTGTGGTGGCACTCTCGGTGACAGGCATCTTGAAGGTGTGGATTGTCACCTCTGAAATCAGTGGCATGCAGGTGAGACAAAGGAGGATGGAAGTGATGTTTCATTTTTTCTTCTTTGGAGTTTTACATTTCAGTAATGATATACTCCTTCCTTTTTTCTTTTTTTTGAAGAGTTAATTTTGCATATAAGAACTGGGGTGCAGAGGGAGGAGGTGGCAATGAGAGGATCCACCAGAGACAGAGTGGGGAGGAGAACAGGTGGATCTGCTGAAATACACTGCTGAGGGGAGCAGCAGGCAAGACAGGAGAGGTCTGCTCTGCCCTGTGGGTCAGCTCCCTAGCTGGGGATCAAACTCATGCCATAATGGCTGATGATAGCTTGATAGCATTAAGACTTGAGCCCCTGCACTATCAGGAAGGCCACTTTTTTTCTTAAAAGTAAAGGAAAAACTATGACTTAGCATAGAAGATTCTCTAGTTTGATAGCTCTGTAAGGTTTTTTTTACTCTTGATGACAGTTGTCTACTCTGTCAAGGGTACAAAATAGAGAAACTGCTAAGAATATGAAATAGAAAAACATAGAAGAGGTGGAATTTTTGTCAGTTACTTTCACTAAAGTTCACAGTTAAAAAGAAGTTTAATTGAGGGCAAAAATAATCAAAATTCTGCACCTCAAAAAAAAAAAAAACTCAAAAGCAAACCTCTGCAAAAGCATATAAAGCCATTTTTAGGCTTCTTAGTTCTTGGGCTTCAATTCTTCTCTAGCTGTTTTTAATCAATAAGAAGGAGAAATCAACTTTTGACAATATTGACACTCATCTCTTTGCTTAGAGAATTTTTGGATGTTGAACCTGGGAGAAACTGGAGAAAGTGATTATTTTGTTTCAACCTAAAAATGCCTGTAGCTATGAAAATTGGGATTGACTGGGGGTTTTCTCATCTGCCTGGCCAGAGTGATGACACTTTGACTCTTAGTAGTATTTTTATCCTGAGGCCTTTGTAGCAACAATGTTGTGCCCAGATGTTTTGAGGATGTATTTTTTTGCTGTTGTTTACTACATTGGTTCTCATGTGAGGACCTGAGGTGAGGGACATATTACTTTAACTCTTGTCTCTATTATTGTGTGACAATTTTAATTGAGAACCTACTCATTCCTAAAGTTTTACAAATCTCTTTCTTTTCAGGATACTGAGCCAATATTTGAGGAGGAGTCCAAACCAATTTACTGTCAGAATTGCCAAAGCATCTCTTTCTGTGCATTCACACAGCGGTCGCTTTTGGTAGTATGCTCCAAATACTGGAGGGTAAGATAACTTAACTAAGTAGCTGTGAAATATGGCATTTTTTTTTTTTATTTATGCTTTCAGACTGGGGTACAGGCCAGAGGTGTGGTGGGTGAGAGGATTCACCAGACACAGAATGGGAAGCAGAACAGGCAGATCGACAAAGTACACTGCTGAGGGGAGCAGTGGGCGGGTCAGGAGAGGTCTGCCACCCCGTGTGGGTCACCTCCTGGCCAGGCATCAAACTTGTACTGCAGTGTCTTTGGAGGCTTTATAATGCTATTCTTTAACCTGTTGCGCCACCATGGAAAGCCCGAAAAATGGTATTTTTAACACTTCAAGACTTTGGTTTAGCAGATATCCAAGGGTGATTGTTTGGAAGAGTTTGGTGCAAGAATCCTTTGCTCATTTGGAATTCACGTCCGATTTGGATTTCATATTTTTAAGTGTTGGATTTGACTATATAGAGTTATCTTTGTTTTTGTTTCTAGAATGAGTCAATTAGTGAATTGTATTCTATTGATCTTAATTCCCATCTTTTGTTACTATTTTAGTCAGTAGCCTGTCAATACAACATGTGGTAGTGAATTTCTTGCAGGTTAGATATTTTTATAGGTTGTTTTTGTTCCCAGTTGCTATTCTGTTGTGAGTTGGAGTAAGAAAGTTTTCCTTCATCACTTCAGAGCTAATGATGGAAGGAGTTAGATTGTGAGACTTTAATTTTTCTGTAATAGTGGAAGAGTCAGCATTTGGGAGGTACTTGTGCTTAGCATATTTTCAAAGCTTGACATATTTTTTCTTTCGTGCCCCACACGCTCCAAGGCTAGGGTATTAGTTCTCCAATCCTGCACAACAAATTACTTCAAAACTTACAGTTTAAAACAACAAACGTGGCTCGCCGGCCAGTTCCTGTGGGTCAGGAATCCAGGTCTGCCTGAGTTGGATACTGCTGATGTAGGGTCTCTCCTGAGGCAGCTGTGAAGCTGTCTGCAGGGACGTGATCTCATTCCAAGATTCAACTGGGGAAGTCTCTGCTTCCGAGCTTACTCACACGGCAGTGGCAGGCCTCATTTCCAACTGTTTGTTGGCGGGAGACAATAACCCCTGCCACGAGAGTCTCTCCCTCGTGCAGCTTACCACGTGGGAGCCCTCTTTCCTCAGAGTTAGTCATCAAGGGAAGTGGTAGCCAAGACCCATCTTATCTTCTAAGATCTCATCACTTCTGCCACATTTGTTCTCTACAAGCTATTCACAGAATCCAGCCAACACTCAAGGGAGCGATGTTGGGTGTGCCTACCTGGAGTCAGCATCAGCACGCCGGCTCAGAGGTGCTGAGCACCATGGGAATTGTTACTTTCCTCATTTTGCAGATAAGTCAGCTGGGACACAGGGAAACCAGTAACTCTACTAAGGTTATTCACGTGGTTTTGGCGTCGCTAGGTGACAAGTCAAGTAGACTGATGGAGTCGGTTGCTCTCTGCCGCCATGCTGCGCTGCCTCAGAACAGGAGGGGACTGCTGGGGCAGTGCCATCTAACCCCTCTGCTGTGGCCTCTGTTTTGCAGTCAGGTTAGAGAGAAAAGCTAGTGGCTGCTTAGCTATGTGGTGCTTGGAGTCCTTGCATTATCTTAAAATGTAAAACATGTGCAAATGATACTGAAAGGAATTTAGGAGGATACAGTGAAATGTACATGCCCATCTTCCTTGGCTTTTCTCTTCTGTTCCATTGAGGCTGCATCTAATGCTAGTTATCTTATATACTCATGATAAGCATGTTGGGGGACAGTGAGAGGGTTCCCCAGAGGTAGAGAGGGGAGCAGAACAGGAGGATCTACTGAGGTACACTGCTGTGGGGAGCACTGCTGTGGGGAGCAGCTGGGTGATAGGAGAGGTCTGCTGCACTATGTGGGTCACCTCCCTGGCCTGGGGATTGAATTTACTCTGAAGCAGATGCAGCTAGCTTCGTAGTGCTGCACTTTAAGCCATTGTGCCACCAGGAGGGGCCCTAGTTTATGATTTCTTAAGCCTATGACAGGTTCTAAATGGTGCACCAAATACTGATTTAATTTTTTTTTTCTCCTATATGGTTTTGTTTTGGTTACCTCTAAATCTTTAATCTGGAATTCATTTTGTATACATTATGAGCTGTAGATCCCATTTTACTTTTAGTCCCGCTGGCCCCCTCCCTCCTTAGTTCCTGATGCCACTTGTTGAATAATTCATTTTCCTACTGTTATACTTTTATAATATACTATATTCCTATATTACTGTGATCTGTTTCTGAACTTAAAGATTCATCTAAAGCTTATGCAAAATAGTACTGTGTTGTTTTATTTTCTGTAACTTTTTAATTTGTTTTAATAGATAGTAGGGCTAGATGGCCAGTTTCTTTTAATTATTCATTCTTGGGTTTGTCTTGGCTGTTGTTGTCTTGGCTGGTGTTATATACTGATAAATATAATAGCAAATCATGGTCAATTTGGCTAGGATTTGTTCTAATTTCAAAGCTCTGTATAAACAACTGTATTTTTTTCTTTAGAGAAAAATAAAATAAGAATTCTGGACCACTGATATACTCATTCCCCCAGGAAGGTTTTTGTTTTGTTTTTTAGCAACATAGAATATACTTTTATCAAATACTGAAAGTGCTAGATAAGTTCTGGTAGACATGATAAGAACAGTTTGTCCTCATGGGATGTGACCTTGAGCAAGTGATGTAACTCTTACCTGTGATGGTTTTCTGTCTGCCTGGCATAGCAGTTCCTGCCTGCCTTTGTAGTCATTCAAAGGTCATGTTAGATAATGATTGTAGAGACACATTGTAAACTTCAGTGAGCCTTCCAAGTGTAAGGTCAGTATCCAGTTTTGTTGATGAAATTTTAGGGACTTGACTTTTATATGCGAAAATCATTAAATAATGAAGCAGTATTAACTTCCTATGTACAAAATTTTAGAACATTGATGAAATAAGGTAACGTAAGATAATTCTCCCTACTAGTAAGGAGTTATTCTGATGTCATAGTTGACCGTTAGAAATGCTGCATTTTAGGAATCAAACAAGAGTCTGGAACTTGTTCCAGACTCTGGAACTTGGTTCCATATTACTTGTCATTCTTTTTAGGTTCACTCCTCTCTCTGAGTAATAAGGTAGGGATCCTGTCCTTGTGTAGGGGAGCATCCTGTTCCACTTATCCTGGACTTCAGTCCCAACACCAGGAGACTGGTCACAGATGGGGGTCCCCTGTGACTCCCCTAGTGAAGTGGACGTGCTCTGGGGTACACTGGCAGGTGTTTTAAAGTGAGGTGCTTGTTAAACATATTTCCAGAAGCTTTGTTTTGTTTAGTGAAAAATGTGGCTGAATCTAAGTAAAATGACACCAATATAGTTTATGAATTTCTTACTTCTTACAGGTATTTGATGCTGGAGACTATTCCCTGTTATGTTCAGGGCCCAGTGAAAATGGACAAACATGGACTGGAGGTGACTTTGTGTCAGCAGATAAAGTCATCATTTGGACTGAAAATGGACAAAGTTATATTTACAAACTACCGGCCAGGTATTCAATAAATACTAAGTTGGATTCTAATCTAAAGTAAAAGATTCCAAATTTAGGGTAAAACCTGAAAGTATGAGTGAGATGTATGATGTACATATTTTGTTAGATTTGCAATTTCAGTTTTCTAACTACAAAAGTTAGGTTGATTTTTTTTTAATTTTAAATAAGATATTTTAATAATATTGATTATTTAAATTTCATGCCTATATTTGATTAACTAATTTAAAAATATTTTTCTTCAGTGTCAAAAAAGTCCTTATCTTATGGGATAGTATTAAATATTTAATATCAACATTTTTTCTTAGTAAATATGGAATGTTATTCACTTGAATGTATCAATGTCAGTATTTTTTTCTAAGCTTTCTTTATTTGTGCGCATAAGAGCTTGGTGTAGGCGATTAGAGGACTCACCAGAGACAGAGTGGGGAGCAGAACAGGTGGATTTACTGAAATACACTGCTGAGGGGAGCAGCGGGTGAGATAGGTGAAGTCTGCTGTGCCATGTAGGGCAGCTCCCTGGCTAGAGATCAAACTCATGCCTGAGTGGCTTCCCAGAGTGTCATAGTTCTGAGACTTAATCCCTTGCGTCACCCGAGAGGCACCAATGGCAGTATTTTAATTGAGCTGTGTGTTTTCTCCTTTCCAGTTGCCTTCCAGCTAGTGATTCTTTCCGCAGTGATGTGGGAAAAGCAGTTGAGAATTTAATCCCTCCTGTACAACACAAACTCTTGGATCGAACCGATAAAGAGGTAAAAACCTTCAGATATCACTTATAATTGATAGTCACATTGAAAAAAATTTCCAGCTCTTTTTATTAGTGTCTTTTGGCAACTTAGCTTTTGAAATCTTCAATAAAATCCAAGACATGTTAAATTTTGTAAAATGCTTTGACATCAGCAGTTAGAAGAACAACTTTGAAATTTGCATATCTTACAACAGAGAGTTTACCTGTAATGCAGCTTTCATCTTTTTCTAGGAATAAAAATTAACTTATGTTAATCCATAGTGGAAATAACTACTTCTTTATAAAATTAACATTGATGGTATGATTTTATTTAGCATCATCATGATGCTGTGGATATCGTTGCAGATGTCAATGTGGAACAGCAAAGATAGTCATGTACTAATGCTAGTAATAGTTTATTACTGAACAAGGCATTGCAATAGCTCTCCCAAGCCAGGTAGTAATTTAAATCATTAGACATTAGACATGAAAGAGTAAAAGAGGTTTTTCCACTTATAAAAACTAAAACTTTTAAGATGTCTAGAACCTACTTAGTATCAATTTAAAGTTGAACTGGAGCAGCACTGACCACTGGATTTTCAACTTCTTTGAGCAGCTTGCAGAGGGTGCTGGTTTCGGAAATAGAATTTCCTCTGCTAATGTCCTGGTTCCCATAGCTCTATTGTCCTGAACATTTTGTCACATCCCTATGTGGTGGGCCGGTAAGGTAAAGAAAATACTTTTGTCCCTGAGTGTTTCCAATATACTGACTTCACACTTCTTTGTATAATTAAAATCTTCTATAACTGTGCTAATTTATTAATTCTCATGACTGTTCTTTGCTAGAGGACACTTCCAGTTAAGTTTTGGGGTAATGATTTCTATTAAAAATAAAATTCATAAAACAGGCCCTCCCTGGTGGTGCAACAGGTTAGGATGCAGCACTGCAAGCTAGTTGCAGCCACTTCACTGCAAGTTTGATCCTCGGCCCCAGAGCTGACCCACAAGGCCCAGCAGACCTCTCCTGTCTCACCTGCTGCTCCCCTCAGCAGTGTACTTTGTCGATCTGCCTGTTCTGCTCCCGACTCTCTCTGGTGACTCCTCTTACCACCCCTACACTTCTGGCCTGTCTCCCAATTCTGTATGCAAAAATAAATAAATCTTTAAAAAATGCATAAAACAAAACAAAACAAATACATACTGTGTTTCTTTAAATATTATCTCCTTCCCTGATACATGTTAAATATAGGTATTATGTGGCATAGAATACTTCATGTGTTAAAATACAGAATATTGGCTATAACAGCTACCATAGCAACTTGTTAAATATGTTGTTTATCAGTTGAAATGATTAGTGATATTCAGACTTTATTAGAAGTCAAATATTTGATTATGCTTAGTTTGTATACTTTATAGCATGGTGCTTTTTAGGTGATTTGTTAGCTATAATTGCCAACATTGAAGTCTGTATATTACTACTTTTTAGGATGTTTCTTTGTCTTACTATTTGTATTTGCAAATTAATACTCTAAACTTTATTGTGGAAGTCCACCACCAGTTAGTATTGCTACATAAGTCACTGAAGACCATAAGTGGAAAATATTTATTTAAAAAATGAAAATATATACAAAACCAAATGAGTATTTTTTGTTCCTAGTGATTTATAGCCAACATTTCAGCCCTCATCCAAATTGTTATGTAAATATGACCAAGGAAAATGTTATGCTCAGTGAAAAATACATTTAATTAGAAGCCTGGAGTCCTCTATTTGCACAAGCTCTGAAGTTTAACTTGATGCTATTCTTCACAACTAATCAGGAGTGGGCACAAAGCTAGATCAGTGAGTTCTTCCTTTTGACCTTTTAATAGAGACTTCTCTTTTTTAGTAAAGAGTGGTTATCTTTATTCATTATTTAATTACAGACCACTAAATTAATTACATTGTTGTGGTAAGCAATTAGTTTTTGATAGCAGAGAAAAAGCATATGAATACCAATCTAGAGAAGGTCTACATATGTAATTTTCATTGCATGTTTGTATTATACTGGATTTGAATACTAGCTGACAGTTGTATCTTGCTACAAAATTACTTTAAAATATGGCTGAGCACTCATGCTATGAATACTTTTTTTTTTTTTTTTGAAGATTTACTTATTTGTGCATACAGAACTGGGGTACAGGCCAGAGACTCAGGGGTGGCGAAAGACTTCACCAGAGACAGAGTGGGGAGCAGAACAGGCAGATTGACGAAGTACACTGTTGAGGGGAGCAGCGGGCAGGTCAGGAGAGGTCTGCTGTGCCATGTGGTCACGATGGGGCAGGCGGGAATCGAACTCATGCGGAAGTGGTTTCAGCTTTTTAGTGCAGTGTTTTAGCCCGCTGCGCCACCAGGGAGGGCCATGAACACTTGTTTACTCTGGTACCAAGTCAATGTGCTTAAACATCTTTTTCTGAAAAATATTAATGTGTGAAATATTTTTATTAAAAAGCTTCTAAAGATAATTGAACAAAAAGTTGTTTTTTCTGGCAGCTGCTGATTTGTCCTCCTGTTACCCGGTTCTTCTATGGAGGCAAGGAACACTTTCATAAACTATTAATTCAGGGTGATTCTTCTGGAAGATTGAACATTTGGAACATATCAGACACACCTGCTAAAAAGGAAGGTGCAGAAGGTAATGGAAAATCATGTTTTGCAACTTTTTTTTTTAAAGATTTATTTATTTATTCATAACTGGGGTACAGGTCCAGAGATGCAGAGGGTGAGAGGCTTCACCAGAGACAGAGTGGGGAGCAGAATAGGCCGACTGACGAAGTCCACTGCTGAGGGGAGCAGCGGGCGGGCCAGGAGAGGTCTGCCACGCCATGTGGTCACCTCCGGGCAGGTGGGAATCGAACTCATGCGGAAGTGGCTTCAGCTTCTTAGTGCTGTGTTTTAACCCGATGCACCACCAGGAAGGGCCCATATTTTGCAGCTTTTAATTTAACAACCCAATTTACTAACCATTGAGCAACAAATTGTCAATGTACATTTTCTTCTTGGTATTAGCGTTGATGACTTACCATCCTTGGGCACATTGCTCCATCAGACATAGTCATATGTATTGTCTGTGTAAAACTGTTTTTCTAACCTGCACAAATGTTTTCCTTTTTCACAAAACAAAACCTCTGCAGGGCTGGGAATGACAACTTCTATTAGTTTGCAAGAAGCTTTTGACAAACTGAACCCTTGTCCTGCTGGGATTATCGATCAACTGAGTGTGATTCCCAATAGTGACGTCCCTCTGAAAGTAACCACGAGTGTGTACATCCCTGCACACGGGCGGCTTGTCTGTGGTCGCGAGGATGGCAGCATCATCATCGTGCCTGCCACCCAGACAGCCATCGTGCAGCTGCTGCAAGGGGAGCACATGCTTCGGAGAGGTACTCTGCCAACCTGCTCGTGTCTAGAACATTCCGAGCACTCTAGGACAGGGATTTGGCAAATGTCTGCCTGCTTTGCTTTCAGCAAATACCTGAATTGGAATATTATTAGTGTACTGAAGTTGGTAGAGGTTAATGCACAGATATAAAACGCTTAGTACCTCTCCTACCTCTCCTAAGGACTGTCAGTAAACAAGTATCCTATTTTGTCTCTGTGATTTATGTTGAGTTACATTTAGTCCTAGTTCTGTCTCTGGTTTCCTTAAACAATACTATCTTATTAATAACACTGGTAATCTCATAGAACAGTGCTGTCCAGGACCAATATAAACACATAAGTATAACAACATGTCTAATTCCCTAGTAGCCGCATTGACAGTGAAGCAGGTGGAATTTAATAACACAATAGTTATGCTTATTTCAACTTGTAATCAATATGGAAATAATGAACGAGCTCTTTTACATTATCACTTTGTATTAAGTCTCTAAAATATCATGCATGTTTTTGCATTTCTAGCACATGTGAATCGGGACCAGCTGCCTTTCAAGTGTTCTTTATTCCCATGTGACAGGCAACTCTTACGTGGGACAGAGCAGTTCTAGAAAATATCAGAAACCTTTTCTATGATAAGTGTTCTAGCTAAGTCCAGTGATCTATGTTTGCTTTTGTTTGTGGAAACGTGGCAAGACTTTAATTTTCACATCTTAAATCCATGCCCTCATTCACAGGTTGGCCGCCTCACAGAACACTGCGTGGCCATCGTAACAAAGTCACCTGCCTGCTGTATCCTCATCAGGTCTCGCCTCGTTATGATCAGAGATACCTGATCTCTGGAGGTGTGGATTTTTCAGTGATAATTTGGGACATATTTTCAGGAGAAATGAAACATATCTTCTGTGTGCACGGTGGTGAGATTACTCAACTTCTCGTCCCACCTGAGAACTGTAGTGTAAGTTGATTCAAAGCATTTTCTGGTTTCTTTAAAAAAAAAATTAGAATGAGTAATGTAATAAAATGTTTTTGGCCAGTTGAATTGAAAATTAATTTTGCAGTGAGTGGAAACTACCTAAAGACACACAAGCATCTGAACAGAGCATGCTTGGGGCCCCTCTGTAGACCCCGGGCAGGACTGAGGGCCCCCGCAGCTCAGGGACAGGAGGGAGAGTCATGCAAGCCAGTCTGGGTGTCGGAAAGTAACATAAAGCTTTTGATTGATTTATTATAGACTTAATAATGAAGATTTTCTTGTGTTTAGTTGACATTCGGAAGCACTGATGAAGACAAAGAAACTTGGTTTTAATTTTGTGATCATCAAACAAATACATGACAACCTAGGTTATAACTGGTTCTCTTAGCCGGTGGTTTCTAATCCTCCGAATTTGGTATTTGCCCCTGACTGCTTTGCTGATCAGACATCATCTGTTGGTTCCACTGCTTGAATTGTTCCTCCCCGTGTCATTTCCATTTAGCAGGAAACATTTTCATTTCACTGGCTTCTTGGAAGCCTATACCTATTTACTGAATATAGTGGGAAGATAAATACTGAAAAGTTTGTGATCCACTTTTTTTTAATTAGAATTTTGATTTTTATCTCAGGTAGATTCAAGAAGAAGTTGAGTTTTGACATGTTGTATTTTCCTTTTTTAAGGAAATGATGCTCTAAAACTGAAATGTTGGGTGTATTTGTAAAATTACCAGGACAATGCCGCATACTTACTCTCTGTAGTCTAGGTGTTTCTCAGTACATTTCCCTACTCATTTATTTTTGTGCTGTTTTAGCATCATTTTTTACCTAAAATCTTGCCAAATTCTCGCTATAGGTTAGCAGTGATTTGGCACTAGGCTTAGTGGTTCTCTATATATTTTATTTCAAATGAACTTTTTCTATCCCTTTACTGAAGGAGGTTTTAATTATTTTAAAGAGTGGACATGTTCACAGATGACAAATACCGCTTAAATAGACTAGTAGGTAGGCTGCTTAAATTGAATAGATTTTATTTTCATTTTATGTTGAAGAATCTTGTTTTTCACTTTCTCAACAAATTTTTACTAATTTTTTTTTTCCAAAATGGTACAAGTTTATTTAGGCGAAATTCTTTGAAATTGGCCTTTGATTTACTGGATTACCTAGTTAACAGTTTTTATATGACACAAGTTATTTTAAGTAACTAAAATGTTAACAAGAAAGTTAAAATTTTTCCTGAAGCTATCCTTTGAGATATAAAATGTTGAAGCAATACAGGATTGTTTAGGGCCAAAGGTTAACTGAGAGCAATTCAAAAAGTGTTTTGGAGTACGGTTACCATCTTTCAAGTAATGTTATGTTTAAGTGGTCTATGAAATAGAGGCTTCCGTTTTAGGAATACACCATGCAAGTATTTCAGTCAGTCTTCTGCGGCTGACTGTCAGTGGTGAAGGAGAGCTGCTAACAAAATGTGATGGTGGTTGCGGGCCTGGGGCTTGGTGAACTATGAGAGCTGTGAGCTTCGGCCAAGTTTTGTGGGCGTCAGGAGGTGACTGATGTGCAGCTTGGGGATGGCTCCTGGGAGCTGATTTGCCTCTTTTTTTTTTTTTTAAAGATTTATTTATTTGTGCATACAGAACTGGGGTACAGGCCAGAGGCTCATGGGCGGTGAGAGGCTTCGCCAGAGACAGAGTGGGGAGCAGTACAGGCAGATCCACGAAGTACACTGCTGAGGGGAGCAGCGGGTGGGTCAGGAGAGGTCTGCCGCGCCATGTGGGTCACCTCCGGGGCCAGCGGGAATCGAACTCATGCGGAAGTGGCTTTAGCTTCTCGGTGCTGCGCTTTGACCTGCTGCGCCACCAGGGAGGGCCTGATTTGCCTCTTTTATTTCTCTATTTTATGAAATGTGAAGGGAACAATTCAACTTGAGGTTGTTGTTTTCTATTGGGTGGCTTAGTTTCTTGCTAAAACAGACTACTATTGTCATTACAAGTTGTGCTTAATGCTTTTAAATGAGTGCTTTTGGTCTTTGTCATTGGGGTTAAGATGTGATAGTTCATAGGTAATTATAGTAAGATTCAAATTTAAAGTTGAAACAGGCTTGCTAAAATTTTGTCTGATGTTAGACTTTTATCTGTACTTTGATTACTATGAATGTGCCTATTTTATCAATAGGTCATGATATTTATAGTAAAACACAAAAGATATTAAGGTCATTACTAAAAAAAAGGATAGGTGTATCCTTCCTGTTTTTCAGCTTTGTGGCTTCCTTAGCGTTAAGGGAAATGCCTTATAATCCTTCAGAGAGCTTGTCAACTGTAAGGTTTTCATTCTCCGGCACTATAGCACTTTAGTCCTGTAACATAATCTAAGCAACATGGTATGCTTAGAGAGAATGGCTTTCCAGTCTGAATATACTTAATTCTCTCTCTCGTTGACACAGATTTTTGAATTCTTGGCATTTTGCTGCTGCTTAAATTTTCAAAACAAATAATTTTAGAACAATACATGTGTTTCTTTGTATAAGCATGTTAGCTAGATATAGATGAGTAAAAAAGAAAATTACTTCTCATTTATGGCATCTTTTTAAACTTTTAATGTCACACAATTCCCCAAAAGTATCCAGAAGGGGGCAGCATAGCTTTGTGAAACAGGAACGTCAGGCTTCTAGTCTGCATACTGGAGTTTATGCTTCATTTTATAGTCTCCCTGGCTTTTAGCAACAGAGACAAGGTGAGTGGCACATAGGACTTTATGTGTGCCAGTTGGCTCATGCCCATGCTCATGGCTGAGGTGCTCAATTACTGCATTCATTTTTCTTTTTAACATATTGTCTTGCATTCTGCAAAAGTACCTACAGCTTTTGCCTGAAGTAGCTTGATTTCAAAGTTGAATTTGTACTTTTGTTCTTAATTAAATTTGAATGTTATCATTTACAAAGCAATTCTGTAACATGCTCACTGAACCCCTTCAGAGTAAACTCTAGTAATACAAATGAAGCAAAGGCAGGAAGCAGAGCTAACATTTTTCTAAAATATTTTACAATGTACATAACTTGTTTTGAGGTCATTTTTATATATTTTTATGCACTCAGTACCGTCTACTTGAAGTTAATTTTAATGTTTCAAAGTGAAAGCACACCATGTTACAGAACAGACAGATTTTTCCTGAGAGGATCCTGTCATCTTTCTATGTCACTCAGCATGTTCTAATGTCATTTGACATGACTTTCTGCAATTTACTAAATTCTGTCAAAAATTTAAAATGCTGCATTTAAAATTATTTTTCTTATCAACTTTAGTGGGTGAAAATGAGTGTAGCAAAATATTTTGCATGTCTGGAAAAGCTTCTTAGGCTTGTGTGGAATTACTATATAAAGAAGCATGTTAATTTTCAAAGCCTTGTGAATAGGTTTTGCTCAATTGCCCTTACAAAGCTTACAAATAGGTTTACATAGTCACATTTCCCCCCCACCATTCTCTATCATCTCTGTGTGTAATCTTTGAGATGTCGCTGATTCTCTAGGCTTCTAAGTCGCTGTTGTATTTGTATATCGCATTCACTGCCATTTGGAAAGCCCCTGTTGGGTAGCTTCCTCTGGTGAAGGAGCCACAGTAGAAAACAGCAATTTTAATGCAGCATGAGAAATGCTTTGAAGTCCATTTTCTCTGACCTTGCAGAGAACAAGGCCTCAGGGAATTCATCGGTGGGGGCCTGCATTTGGCCCTATTGGGTGGGTGGGAAGGCTCCTAGCAGGTGGTGTCTCTGATAGTTGTCTGTATTAGTTTCATGGGTGTGTGTAATATGACATAGCGTACAGGAACAGCGTTTGCACACATACTTAGTCTTTTGTATGTTATGTGGAGAAGTCTGGAGCAAGTGTTAAGTTGTCCCTCCTAGTACCTGATGGGTGTGTCCATGTGAATACCAGCATGGATTTGACTTACTTGCACAGTTCTTTGAAAATCATGACCAGGAGATCAGAGGAATGGTTTTGCAGGTACAGCCATAGGTCACTTCATTTCCTCCTACCTCAGGAAGGCTATTTGGAAGAAACAGTGAAGATAAGGCTTCAAATCCAAAGGAAAATTTGTCAGGACAGTAAATGAAATGAAAATGGAATGTGACAGAAGGTGAGGCAGGAAGACTGTTTTGTATGAAAATACCAGTTGATCGATGTTTTTTTAAAACCTCATAATTTGTGGTTCTTCTTAGACTTTCAGAAGGAATTAGAGAAAACTTTTGCTGCTTAGGCAGGTGGAGCCTGAAATTAGGAAGAATGGATTGGGCATGTCCATGATTGCAGGTTTTGTGGAACCACACAGGCCTGGTCTGTCTCTCCCTGAGTGTGGCTTCAGCAGGCTTCCTAATGCTGGGAGTGCTGCTGGCTCTTTCTATGCAGTGTTGCTTAAAGGTGGAGGGCGCACCTGGCCTGCACAGGTCACTAAGCCGTTCATATTGTCGTTTTATTTTCCATCATCTACATTTCCATTTGGCTTAAAAAAATCCCAGGTCTGCAGGCGAGAAAATAATAAGAAAAATGAACAGCCATATACCAGAGACATTTGTGGGGATGGAGTGGGGAATGGGATCAAAAATGGGGGGGGGGGGAGTGCACGGGACTGTGAAACCCACAGGGATTACAATTGAGATTAAAAAAAAATGTACAAAATGGTGTACATTATTATATTATAAAGAAGAAACAAAAAAAGCCCAGGTCTGGGCAATTTGTTCCTTCATTCCCAGCTTTGGGAGAACTGGATTTTAGATGTGTGTCATTGCTATATTGGGCTCTACTTTTCATGTCCTTACTTGCCAGTTGAGCAGGTCATTCTGGAATTTTCCCTAATTAGGGATTAAGTCCCCTTTCTGTGTCAGCCTAGCTTTGCATCAGACAATGAAAAGGGTTTGTTCTCCCTAATTGTGTAGGAAATGTAGTCTTGATTGTTGACAGTCTTATGCTTTTCCTGCTCACTGCCTGGACT